CCGGGAATTACAAATGTCCTAATTGTTTAAAAAAAAAAAAGTGGAGAGGGGAAGGGAGGTATCTTCAAACTACAGGCTTGTGAGCTTGACTTTTGACTCCCTTTCTGAGCATTTTCAAAGGAAAACAATTATCACTAAGAGTCAGCACGACTTCATAAATAATAAATAAATAAATGGGCCAAGGATATGAAGGGGCAGTTCTTTTTTTTTTTTTTGCTTGTTTTTGTTTTGTTTTGAGGCGATTGGGGTTAAGTGACTTGCCCAGGGTCACACAGCTAGTAAGTATCAAGTGTTTGGTCTGAGACCACATTTGAACTCAGGTCCTCCTGACTTCAGGGCTGGTGCTCTATCCACTGCAACACCTAGCTGCCCTTGAAAAGGAAGTTCTTAAGGGAAGAAATTCAAGTGAGTTAGCCATTCTTTTTTAAATGCTCCAGGTCATTAATAATTAGAGAACTACAAGCTAAAACAACTATGAAGTTCTAACTCACACCCCTGGCAAAGGATACTAGAAAGGAGAACGACAAATACTAGAGAGGCTTCAGGAAAATAGACATACTAAAACTGTGAATGGAGATTCTGAATGGCCATTATGAAAAATAATTTGGAATTGTCCCTAAAAAGTCACTCAATTACACATGCCTTTTGATCTGGTGAGACCATGCCTCAGCCTAAATCTCAAAAAAAATCAAAGAAAGAAAGTACCTATATGTTAAAAAAAAAAAACAAAAAACAAAAACACTGCAGATCTTTTTGTAGTGACGAAGACCTGAAAACTGAGGAGTGGTTGAATAAGTTGTGGAATATCAGTGTGATGCAATCCTATTGTGCTATAAGAAAAGATGAAGGGGATGATTTCAAAGAAAGCTGGCATGAACTGATACAAAATGAAATTAGCAGAACAATTTATCCAATTACAATAATATTGCAAAGAGAAATAATTTAGAAAGACTTAGAAACTGATCAGTGTTATGACCAAGTACAAATCCAGAGTATTATGATAAAAGATGCTATTTCCTGATAGAAAGATTAAAAAAGACTCAAGAGTACAGGGTAAGATTTTTATTTACTTATTTATTTACTCTGGCAAATGCAGAGATCTGTTTTGCCTAGTCGTGTTTTTTTTTTAAATAGGGATTTTGTTTTTCTTTCTCAATTAGAGAATGGAGGTGAGGTTTTTTTTGCTGACTGAAAATATTTTTTAATTTAGAAAAAGAAAATAAGATGTTCAATTTATTATATACTTGAAAAGCAAACTGTACTTAATTATAGACTCAGCTTCCTGTTCTGTTTTGAATATGGAAATAATCTTATTTGTTTTTTTAAGTTCAGAATTTTTAAAAAGAATAAATAATAATGGACTAACTTCATTTCCTTTTCTGACAGGGTTACCAGAATGGAAGATAAGGGAAGTGACACAAATATAGTATATCTAGATTTCAGCAGCACATTTCACAAAGTATTTCATACTATTCTTGTGGTCTACTCTGAGCCTAGCTCCTCATCTACCCCCTCTTACCGGGAAGCAATAGCCTCTCAAGTGGCCTCCCTACCTTAAGTCTCTCCTCTCATCAATACATCCTTCACCATGTTCCATTCTGATTTTCCTAAAACACATGTACGTGACCATGTAACCTCCAGGATCTAGTATAAACTCCACCGTTTACAACATTTAAAGCCCTTCATGATCTGGCCCAAACTACCCTTCCAAGACTAATTACTCCCTCTCATGGATCCTACAGTCCAATCAAACTAGCCTTCTTAATAACATTCTTCCCTGCCTAGATTGGTAAACTCCTTGAGGGAAAGGGTTGTTTCATTTTTGTTTTTGTATCTCTAGGACAGTGCCCATCACACAGCAAGTTCTCAATAAATTCTTAACGATTGACACAATTCCTCGCCAGCTCATTTAGAGTAGGGGTTGTTTGATTCTTTGTTTTTATTCCAAAGCCTATAGCACAGTGCCTGGCACCCTGTTGGTGCTTAATAAATACCTGATTGATTAAGATCACTAACACCTTTTTCTCTCACATTAACTCCTTTAGTAGCTATGCCACAGCAGACTCCTTGAGTTTTAAGTCCTCTGAATCCCCCAGATTTTGTTCACATAAATTGTTTTCTAGCTATGCTTCCTGTAGCCAATTTTTTGTACAATTGACTCTCTGAAGTATAGTACTTCAGTTTTATCCTTATTGAATCTGAACTTATTAAATTCATCTCAGAAGTATCCCTTACATCAAACAAATTAGCAAAGCTTGTAAAAAAAAAAAAAAGGGAAAATACATTGTAAGAAGACCAACACATTTATTCACTGTTGCTGTGAGTGTATCCAGAAAATAATTGGGAATTTTCTAAGAAAAAGTTACTAAATTTTATAAGCTTTGATTCAAAGATCCCACTACTGAAAATATGCCACAATGAGGTTACCAACAGCAAGAAAATATATCTATTAACAAAAATATTCAGAGAGATTACTTGCAATAATAAAAAAACTGGGAAAATGTGCTCAACAAACTATATAAATATAATGGAACATTACTTTGTTTTATGAAAAAGGAAGAATGCAGAGAACTTTGGTAAGACCAGTATGAACTAGATGAAAGTAGGTTGAGCCTGAAGAAAAATTTCCACGAAAAACACAAAGAAAACAACTTGGACTTCAAAACTTGGATCCATCTAGTGACTAATTTAGCCTTCAGAACAGTAATTTACTCACTATCACAAGATCGTCTCACTCACAACATAAGTGGTAGAATACTATATCTTAGGAATGAGGCTTATATGGTCAAGCAGACCAATATGTAGAGTTGTTTTGCTTTACTGTATTTCTTTGATCCAAAGGAGCTTTCAATTGGGGGATGGGGGAGGGAGAAAGGACAGTCTCTGGGAAAGAACAATGATGTGCAAAAAGAGCACCAATAAAATGTTTTTTCAAAGAATTTATAGAAACATGAGAACACCTGTATGCAGTGATGCTGAATGAGGAAAGGAGAGCAAAAGACTATTGGTAAAAAAATCAAAGGATAACTATCCACCTCCTAACAAAGGTTATATTTACAAGCTTAAGAAGGAAGCATAATGTGTGAATGAGGACAATGTGGGAATTTGTTTTGCTTGACTCTGAGTATCTGTTAAAAACGGTTTTGTTTTTCTTTTTTTTTTTCTTTTCAATGAAGATGGATGGAAGAGAAAATAAATGCTTGTTAATTGAAAAAAAAAGATAATCATAGGATCATAAGTTTGGAACTGGAAGGGAGCTAAGTATCATGTTTCAACGCCTTCATTTTACAGTTGAGGAAAGTGAGGTCCAAAGTGTGACAGGCCCAAAATCACAGTCTATGGGATGGCAGAGTCAGGATTTGAACCTTTTGACCCTAAATCTGTTTGTCTTTTCACTGGGGTATGAGAGAAAGCTATCTCTGTTACATATCCCAAATTAAAATTATTCGTATGCCTTGTTTAGCTATACTTAAATCACAGTTACTATTTTCCCCTTTGAGAAGTTCCAAATCTTTTCACCAGTTTTTTTTCTTTCTTTCTTCTTTAAAGGCAATTGGGGTTAAGTGACTTGCCCATGGTCACACAACCAGTAAGTGCCAAGTGTTTGGTCTGAGGACGAATTTGAACTCAGGTCCTCCTGACTTCAGTGCCGGTGCTCTATCCACTTTTCACCAGAATTGACAAAAACACCAATGACACAAAAATTCCAATTACTTGCTTAGTAATTAGAATTATTATTTAGTTTTTATAACTAAAGGAGACTTTGGAAGTTATTTAGTCTAACCCTTTCACTTCACACATGAGAAAATTGACTGTCAGAGAAATGAGAGCCTAATGAGTGCCCAAAGCAAAAGAACTATCAAAGTGGCAGAGCCAAGGATATGAACCTGGGCCCTCTGGCTCTAAATTCAGTGCCCCTTTAAAATGTACTTATGATTATTACATAGCGGTCAATCAACAAACCTTAAACAATTACAAAGTCCCGATTCCACAGAGGAGCTTATAGCCTATCGGAATTTTCTGTCATTTCCCAAAGTGTATAAAAAATAGGCATAAATCATGTATAAAATGCCCACTTTTCTATCCCCTGAAAATACAGCATAAAGACGTACGGGATGCCAGCATGTGGAAATGGGTACACAGACGGTTCTCTTTCCCAAGGATAATGGAGTGAGGAATACTTAAAATGAGCAACAACATCGAATCTGGGCTAGGAGGGCAAACTGGAACGCTGCCGAGATACAGCTATTTAATTAGGTCAAGAACTGGAGGGAGTCATGAAGACTAGGGCATGGGAAAAGATCCAGGAGATCCAGGAAAAATAGACGGGAGTGTTGTGTGAATGAGGGGCACGAGGGAATGGACAGGGTACCCCTCTGGAACATGAATTCCCGAGCTCATCCCAAGTGTAGATGACCTGATCCCTGGCAGGTAGAAACGACTCCAGGAGTCGGAGGACCCAGCTTCCCTCCCCGGACTTGGGGAAAAAAAAGAACCAGATTTGGGAGACGTGAATGGTGAATGTGTGAGCGCGGGGCGCAGAAGAAAGAACAAGGTGCACCTCTGGAACAGAACTCCCTATGTCCTAGTTACAGATGACTCCAGGTGTTCGAGTATCCCGTGTCCCTTCCTAAGCTGGGGGGAGGGGGGATCCAGGAGATTCGGCAGACACGGGTGGTTAACGTGTGAGTGAGGGATGCGGGGGGATAGAGAGGGCACACCCCTGGCACGGGACGCCCCGCGCACCAGGCAGGGGCGGAGTACTCCAGGTGTTCGAGAAGCCCCGCCCCCCCGGCCAGGGGCGGGATGCGGGCCGGGGGCACAGATGTCCGGTGACCGTCCCAGGCAGGCGAGGTACCGCGGCGGACTGGAGGGAGGGAGCCCTCCCCAAGGGCGGGCCGGGTCCCCCTCCAGGCGGCCGGCCCGCGGCCCTCCCATCCCCTGTCTCCTCCCACACAGCGGGCTGCGGCCGGCGCGGGCTCCAGACCGCAGTCACCTACCGGTAGGAAGCGCGCCGAGACGTCAGGCTGACTTGTGGCGGGACAGCTGGAACCTCTGCCTCCGCGTGCCTCCCCCCGGCATCCGCTCCGGCTGCAACCACTTCCGCTGGCCGGCTTCGGGAGAGAGGCGGGGCGACGGAGGCGGTACTTACGGCGCATCTTCCGCGCCCTTGGGCGGCGCCATGTTGTACGGCAACGCTCCCGCCTCGCCGTGCAGTCCGCGTGCCGTGACCTACAGGAAGAGCTTAAGTTGGGGCTTTAAGTACAAACGCACAGATTTTTCTGATGCGGGCTTTCTTTTCAGGGAGAAGACGCTTGAAAAGATTGCTGCTAAGGTTTAAAAGCTAGTTTATGATCTTGGCTTTATTATACATAGATGTACACTTAGAGGTAGAAATATAAACATAGACATAGAGATATAGACATAGGTATAGACATAAATATATAGACATAGATATACAGCGATATAGACATAGATATATAGATGTGGTTATGAATATAAATATAGATACACAGGTATCTAGACACATAGGTGCATATTGTTAACCCCCCCAAAAAAAATCACAGGTGTGTGAGACATGCATTGCAACTGGATTTATTACAAGAGAAATGAACATGCATGTGGAACTCCAGGTACAAGGAGCTCACAATCCAAACAGAAGCTTGCATATTTATGAAATTGCAACAAAGGGAGGAGGAGAAACAGCAACGTTCTCCTAAAGGGAAGTGTCGTGAGAGGAGGGAAATATGCATTTGTACAGCATGTACTATATGTGTATATAGGAAAACAGGCACATCAGAGCATTTGGATGGGATATAAGCATCAACTCTAGTGACTCCCTACCAAATAGGCAAGGTAAGGCGTTGAATGGGGAGTGGGGGGGTTTGGGGTGGAAAGGGTTTTAAGTGGTCTGACCTATGCTTTAGGATGATCACTTGACAGCTGAGAAGAGGCAGGACTGGAGTGGAGAGAGACCTGAAGCAGGCCAACTCACTAGCAGGCTAATGCAATAATCCAAATATGAGGTGATGAGGATCTGTGCCAGAGTGCTTGCAGTGTCAGAGGAGAGAAGGATACTCCAAAAAATCAACGTGCCATGGTGACAAATGTGGGCAGGGTGGGAAGGGAGAACCAGAAGGAGGTCCCCAGGGAAATAAGGAGGAGTTGAGGATGATACCTGGGTTGCCAGCTTGGGAGACTAAGAGGATGATGGCACCCTCAACAGAAAAAGAAAGTTTGAAAGGGGGAATGGTTTGGGGGGGAACATTATAAGTTCAGCATTGGATGTATCGAGTTCAAGATGTCTTTGAACATATAGTTTAAGGTGTCCAATAGGCACTGGGATATGGTAGACTGGAGGTCAGCAGAGAATTTAGAACCAGTTAAGTAGATTTGAGAGACATCAGCATAGAAGTGATCATTGAATCCATGGGAGTTAATGAGATCACCAAGTAAAATAGTATATAGAGAAGACAGCCTATGACAGAGCCCCCCGGGACATCCACAGGGTGTGACCTAGATGAAGATGTAGAAAAGGAAATTAAGAAGGAGAAGTTGGAAGGGACTCAAGAAAGAGTTGTGTCATGAAAAGTTAGAAAAGAGTTATCAAGGAGAAGAGAGCTAAGGTCAAAGGTTGCAGTGAGGTCAAGAGGGATGCAAGACTGAGAAAGGCCCTTAGACTTAGCAATTAAGTAATCATTAGTAAATGAATAGAGTTGAAGGCTGATTTCATAGGCCAGATAATGGAGAATTAAGATGGGAGTGAGAGACAAGGAAATACAGGCATTTATTGTAAATGGCCTTCTCAAGTTTGTCCCAAAAGTCAATAGTGAGGATGGACAGATCAAGTGAGGGGTTTTTGAGGATGGGGAAGATATAGGCATGTTTGTAAGAAGTAGGGAAGCAGTCAGTAGACCAGGAGAGATCAAAGGTAAGTGTGTGTTGGAGGAGGTGCTGATAGAGGGGGCAATCTGCTAGAGAAGATGAGGTGGAGTGGTATCACGTATGCATGTAGAGGGGTTAACTTTGGCAAGCAAAAGAGCCACATTTTTATGTGAGATGGGATTGAATAAGGAGATAGTGGCAGAAGGCATCTGGGTTATGTGAGGGGGAACAAGGAGGAAAGGAGATCTCAGCAAATGGCCTCAGTTTTTTTTCAGTAAAATGTAAGGTAAACAGGGTTCTCAACTGAGGGGTCGTGGGGGAGGGTAGAAAGCCATAGGCAGCTTAAAGAAGAATAAAAAGGTCTGGAAGAGCTTCTGTGGTGAGAGAGATAGTAAGTTAATTAGGGAGATGTAAAAGGATTGCCTTGTCACCGTGAGGGACCAGTTGAAATTATGTAACATGAATTTGTAGTGGACCCAGTCAGCAGTTTCTTGATTTTTCTCCCTTTATGTTCAGGAGCATGCTGTAGGTGGTGGAAGTAATCCAAGGCTGAAGCTTGGCAGGCCAAGATTGGCAATATAATGAGGGGTGAAAGGACTCAAGAGAAGAAGAGAGTGTAGAATGGAATTAGTCCACCAAAGGATTAAGGCAAGGAAAGAAGGATAGTGTAGCTAATGCAGGAATAATGGTCTAGGAGATAATAGGGGATGAGAGATTGGAGGTCCTAGTGTAGTCTAAGGAGGGGGTTTGGTTTTGGAAGGTGGAAGGAGAGATAGAATAACAATAGATTGTGAGAGGTGGTAGAGTAAAGACAGGAACTCAGCTGAGCTCTCCCAAATTCCCCTCCAGACAACTTTAAAATAGTGCCCAAAATGAGTTCTGGAACAGCAGAGCCAACAAAAGGATGGGGTGAAAAAGTTGCCAACCCAGGACAACTCAGGAGGTCAGCAGAAAAGGTCTGTCTCATCAGGGTGGTGGTCAGACATGGAGCCCAGTGAAGACCGTGCACAGAAGGGTGCTAGCAGCAGGCCTTGGAGGCAGTCCCTCAGTGGCAGCTGCAGCAACTTCAGGAGTTGTCAACTTCTAGACAGTAAGGGGGTAAGAAGGAGTTTACAGGGAACCCTTTGCTGGCACTTGGTATAACTGTTGTATTGTCCATACTAAATTGGGTCAAAATCCTAGGGTGAGGAAGAACACTAGTACATTAGCATATGCTGCTGCAGGGGAGTATCGTCCCTGGTCATACTTCCAGGGCAGAAAAGAATGCTTATGGCTGATCACAGACCAGAGTACAGGCCAAGAGACAAGTGACCACACACACCCCCAACTAGCTCTGAAAACAGCAGCACAAAAAACTAGAGGTGTGGGACAGTGGTCCCTCCACTCCAGGAGCAGAGCCCAACTTTAACATAAATTTAAAAGTCATGAAATAGGTTGCAAAAATGAGCAAGCAACAAAAAAAGAACTGGACCGTAGAAAGTTGCAATGGTGACAGAGAAGATAAAAACACAAACTCAGAAGAAGACAACAAAGTCAAAACATCTACATCCAAAGCATCAAAGATAAATGTGAATTTGTCTCAACCCCAAAGAATTCCTAGAAGAGCTCAGAAAGGATTTTGAAAGTCAAATGAGAGAGATTGAGGAAAAATTAGGAAAAGAAATAAGAGTGATACAAGAAAATTATGAAAAAAGAGTCAACAGCTCAGTAAAGGAGACACGAAAAATACTGAAGAAAATGATGCCTTAAAAAACAGAATAGGCCAAATGGTAAAAGAGGCACAAAAATCCTCTGATGAAAGGAACTCATTAAAAAGCAGAATTGGCCAAATGGAAAAGAAGGTACAAAAGCTCACTGAAGAAAATTATTCCTTAAAAATTAGAATTGGGCAAGTTGAAGCTAATGCTTCTGTGAGACATCAAGAAACAATGAAACAAAGAAGAATGAAAAAATAGAAAAAAAAATGTGAACTATCTTACTGGAAAAACCAACTGACCTGGAAAATAGATCCAGGAGAGATAATTTTAAAATTATTGGAATACCTGAAAGCCATGATCAAAGGAAGAGCCTATATATCATACTTCAAAAAATTATCAAGGAAAACTGCCCTGATATTATAGAACCACAAGATAATATAGAAATTGAAAGAATCTACTGATCACCTCCTGAAAGAGATCCCCAAATGAAAACTCCCAGGAATTTTATAGTTAAATTCCAGAGCTCTTAGGTCAAGGGAAAAATATTGCAAGCAGCCATAAAGAAGCAATTCAAATATCATGGAGCCACAAGATTTAGGAGCTTCCAAGTTAAAGTAGTGGAGGGCTTGGAATATGATATTCCAGAAAGCAAAGGATCTAGGAATTACAACCAAGAATCACCTACCCAGCAAAACTGAGTATAATTGTTCAGAGGAAAAAAATGGATATTCAATGAAATAGAGGACTTTCAAACATTCTTGAAGAAAAGACCAGAGCTGAATAGAATATCAAATATAAGACTCCAGAAAAGCATAAAAAGGTAAGTAGGAAAGAGAAACCATAAGACATTCAATAAGGTTCAACTGTTTACATTCCCACATGGGAAGATGATACTTGTAACTTCTAAGAACCTTGTCAGTATTAGGGCAGTTAGAAGGAGTCTGCATAGACAGAGGGCATGGGTATGAGTTGACTATGATGGGATAATATCTAAAAAAAAAATTAAAGAATGACTATGCTGAGATGATGCTTAACATAAATAAAATTAAAAGATGAGAAAGAAGAGTGAACTGAGATAAGAGAGAGGTAGAATAGGGTGGATTATCTCACATAAAAGAGGCACAAAAGAGTTTTTGAAGTGAAGGGAAGGATGAGGAGGATGGCAGACCACACTTGAATCTTACTGTCATCAGAATTGGCTCAAAAAGGGAATAACATACACACTCAGTTGGGTATAGATATCTCTCTTACCCTACAGGGAAGTAGGAGGGAAAGAGGATAAAAAGAAGGGGGGAGGGGCTGAGAGAAGGCAAGGTGAATTGGGGAAAATGATGGCAGAAACAAAATGCTTTTGAGGAGCAACAGGTGAAAGTGGAAAGATGTGAGGTTAAAGGGGGAGTCACATGGGGTAGGGGATAGAATGGAAGAATGGAGGGAAATACACAGTAATCATAACTGAAAAAAAATTATAGCAAGTTTCTTGATAAAGGCCTCATTTCTCAAATGTA